AGTTGTATTCACAGAGTGCATTTAAAGGCAGCTCACAAACATAAACACAAACTGTCACAGCAACGACTCCACTTGAAACCTTAAGTAAAGTAGAAGAAGAACAGGATAAAAAAAGTCAGACAGAGAGAGAGAGAGAGAGAGACATCAGGGGAGTCTGCCGCTCCGTGGAAACACATCTAATAACACTCTCCTCTCTGCCCACTGTGTCCGAGCTCAGCATCTAACATTCATTATTCAGCTGTTCTGCTCCAGCCGCTGCCGCCCTGCCCTCACCAGTCATCCCCAACATAGATACATAATTCATGGTCATGCCTATAAATCTTTAAACGTTTTTAGAACACCCACCAGGGGGATGTATAATTCAATGTTCAAGGCACCAAAAGCAAGGTTTTTACCCATGAAATAATTTTTAAAAATATAAAATAAGAGTAACTCCGGCCATGAGGTTATGTAACGAAAAACTCTCCCCGAACTGTTGAGACGGCAAAGTAGCAGAAAACAAGATTAATTCCTAGTACTTTTTTTTTTACTTTGTTTTTTCAGACTGAGTTCTAATTAGAAAACTGTAAAAAAAAAATGAATTAAAATAATCCTGTTTCTGGGAGAGGTTTTTATTATTTGGTCGTGAGTTTTTTTTCCTACTGTTTTCGTTCTTGGATTGTTTTTGTTGTTATTCTATTTTTGACTAACTTTGGGTTGAGTTTGTTCATTTCAGGGAGTTCAGATGTTTTGTATATTGTTTGGGATTTTTTCAGAATTATTTCTCCAGGCAAATTCTCAGCTAATTATTTCTACCACATCATTTTATTCCTTCCTGCCAAAGAACTGTGTCCTAATTTTTTTTGTCAACTTTGAAATCTTTTTGGGACTTATTTCTATTGTGAACTATTTTTTTTTATCTTCAGCTACTTGTCCATTTTAAATAACTTCCATCTCCTGTTAGAATGACATTGTTATTGTTTGTTTTTAAATACTTTTTTTTCTTTAAATGCTCAATCCTCTTTAGGCAGTTTCAGTGTTTGTTCTATTAACTTTTGTTTGATGTTTTCTGCTAATTTGCTAATCTATCTGTTAGCTATTTTTAGCTCGCCACATCAGTGCTTCAGTTTAGCTAAAAAACCTTCCAATTAATATTAGTTTAATTTAGCAAAACCAGCAGCCACCGAAGTGTAATGTATGAACATATATTACAGCATTATATTTCAGCAGAATGTGATGAAACGTATTCTCATACAGTGACCTTTTCTTAAAGAGCCCAGAACCATCTAGAAGGACTGTAATTGGTCCTCGTCTGTTCCTCTGTTATTCCCACTTGTCATAATGTTTTGTGACAAATTCACCAATAGAAAATCTCAGAATAAGAATTAAACTTTAAAGGGTATAAAATATTAAAGTACAATTTTTTTCCGGCTCCATTAAAAGTATGTAAATTGAGAGAAGTGTCACCATTTAATTGGGTAAGTGTTGGGCTGACAGTTTTATGAGATCCAAGTGATCAATAGACCATAAATATTCATTTTGTGCCCTATTAAAACCCGCACTGTTTTCATCTTGCCGTCTCCTGACTCAGGCGTTCAGACAAAGTTCTCGCCCGGCCTTTGAAAAGATTGCTTGTTCTGACTCTTAACGATCTGGCACATCAACAAAAACCTTGGTACTTTGCCACTTTAGCCGACTGTAGCTCCCATAAAGCACAGCCGGTCAAAAGAGTTATAAATCAGGCCGCAGCAGACTGAGGGATTTAGGGGTAATCTGTGTAACACTTGTCAAAGCTGTCTCTGGGATAATGAGGCGTCAGACTGTAAAGAAGAACCTCACATTTCATTTTATTACAGTTTGTCAATTACAGCGTCAATATGAGCCGCTACAGCTAAGGGAGGAGGGGAAAGTGTCACAAGCTCTGATCTGTATATTGGCTGAATGGAAAAAAAATGTGTGTGTGCTAAAGCGTGGTTCAAAGTGAGGGGCAGGTGCAAAATGGAGGACAGATTTTGGAGGGTGTCTAAACAACAAACAAAGATTTATATATTACATTTGTATGAAATTATAATAAAATAACTATTTCTGCAGTGGTATCAGGAAGATTTAACAGGGATGTGGCCAGTGAAAACTTGAGGTTGGTACATCACAAGAGTAATATCTGACTACCTGTGGTTGTATCTAAAATGAACATTGTTTTCCAGGCTATGTATTTGTATGTGCTCCAAGACAATATGTCATTTCTTATACAGTCAGCAGCTCAGTCACTTGGTCACCTCTTGGGGGCGCAATTGTATCCCAGTTGATTGTATTTCTGTATTACGGCTAGTTGTGTCTCTCTTAGATAAAAAAAAAAAATCTGGATGCCTCCGAACTTGTACAGATATTTTATTCATTTTTGGGAAATAATTAATGCCTGTAAACAGCATGGCGGTGGAATCACACTCAGTTATTTATGTTTAAATGACAACTCAAACAGAGTTATGTCAAGACAAGGAAGGAAAGTTTTACAGTTTAAATTTGCTCAGACTTACAAAAGTCAGACTTACTAATCATCGAGGCAGCGGGAGACGCGTGAGCGTGTGGAAGCTTACCGCTTTTGGGGCGACTTGCTGAGACTCCCACTGCGTTAACCTACCACATGCCGACTGTTGACGCTGTAAACTGAGTCTCAACATGTGGGTGTTTGTTGTCTTTTTTTCTTTTTTTACTTTTTTTGTGCAACTCTCCTCTAAATTTTCCTCTGGAAATAATTCAGTTTTTTCTGTAAACACAGAGTGTATTTAAATGGAAGGGACACTGTTTTTAGACTGAAAACCTTGAGGTAATATCACTACGGACGCAAAAGTGAAGCAGAGTTCATCCAGGGTTAAAAACTAATGGTGGCTAATGGGAGAGCAATTGCATCTTTTTGTGTTGGGCTCAGTAAAATACACAGTCAACACACTTCAAAAGTATACAAAAAGTATACATAAAATGCCCTCAGCTTGAAGGGAGCTAAGAGTTAGCTGTCAATCATTCATGGATTTGTCGAAATACTAAAGAAAAACAACAAGAAAAAAAGGACTTAAATCATAAACTAAAATAATGTTTAAAGTCAAATGTTAGCCACTTTACATTTACCAATTTTTTAGCTAAAAATACCTAATAGTTAATGACACAATAATTATTATAATTTCATATTAATATGTATTTTTTTACTTAAATATATGTCACACAAACAACAAATATTTGATAACAGACTCTAAAACAACTGATTTGCTAATAGTCAGAGCGCCACCTACTGAAAACAGCAAATATAATACTCTACAGTTTCAGTCTAGATTAAACACAGTGGCTCAACAGCGCCCCTAAGGTCAGCAGCCCACAAAAACACCCCGTCCTTGTTTAACCTAATTTGGTTGTGTACACAAAAGTGATATCTATACAATTTAGTCCCCCTAGAGGTTTAATATAGTAACTACACATTTAGATACTTCTGAAGACTTCTGTCGTCAGTTTTAGATTATTATATCATATTATTATATGTTTATTTTGGATATCAGGATGTGACCTGTTCCGTAGAGTTCCGAGACAAATGTTGCGATTCAGACACGTCTCTCGGGCGTCTCCAACAGCTGTGTCAATTCTTTCTTCAACATTCAGCCGTTACATACTTCATTAACAAACTCAAACCTGCCGCAAATTATTTCAAACACTGTTTTCATCCTGAGGCAAAGCAGGAGGTTGCGATCTGTTGCCGAAGACCTCCTCCGTAATTCTATAAAGATCGCAGCCTGTGATGGAAACACCAACGAAGAAGAGTTTGGACAGAAATCGTCCTAACTTTTAATGTTGGAGTATTTCATCCTAAAACACTTGAAAGTTAGGAAGATGACAGTACAGTTGTTGGGGGTTCAACCATCAAACTGTAACCTGACCAACCAGTTCCTCCAACCCAACACACACACACACATTACACAGACATGTCTATTCTAACGTTCTGCTTTGGGCTTATACACTGTTTGAACTCCACCCAGCTGCTGGTACATATGTACCAAATGAACATTACTGGGTTCTTGTTTTTTTCTTCCAGAAGGAAAGGGTCGGAGGATGTCAGCGGCAGCTGACACTGCAGAGGAGGAGACAACATGTACGTAAGGTGGCTTTTTTTTTTTACCACAGTGTATATCATTTACCCATAGTGCAACTTCAGGGGTCGTGGACAGTATGTTCTACACATTTGTCAAGTTGACGTGCAGAAGGTAAGTGAGGGATCTCTGTGTCACGACGTTGCATCACGGGCAGTCTGCTCTCATGTAGAACACGTGGACTCTGTGATGTTTTTCCTCTCCCAGAAATGTAGTGTAGTAATGACTGATTGTTTTTTTTCATGATGTATTTATTTTCATATCTGTGAACAACACTCCCTGGGTGACACCAGCTGTTGTGTAGCAGGATTCTCCAGTAAACATATAGACATCAGTGCAGTGTGAGTTCATGGTTCACTCTACAGTAAATTGACTGCAGACACTGTATGAATGTGAATGGAAATGGATGTTTGCCTCTGCTTAAACCTTCCTTGCCCCCTCCCCTGCCTCATGACTATTGGCTGGTTGGCTATAGTCTCCCCCACCCCCATAACCAAAAAAGGAATTAAGGTGTAGGAGCAAAAGGAGTATATTTATATACATTAGTATTAAACTGAGTTACACAAGTCCCACTTTTTTGCATCTTTCAGCTGGGTTTGCAACTTATACTCAGGTGCGACTTATATATTAAAATATATAATTTTACAAGTTCATTGTTGTCATACTGCCAGCCACTAGAGGGCACTCTAGGCTTGTGTACCGTTATCTGTACCACTGAAAATTGACATGTTCATTATTTTCACACTGACAGACGCCAGAGGGCACTCTAGCTGGCCGGAACAGCTTGTAGTCCAGAAAAAACCGGTAACTTGTTTTTTTTCTTCTGTTGTACATGACAATAAACTAACACACACACACCCTCTTCAGGCATTGGCCATCTCAAGTACGATCGCCAATTTACACATGGACCTATTGCATTATCTCCATTGGTGTGGGTGTGGATAGCTGCTCTGCGTTAGCATAACAAGTCTTTGCTTATGTATTCAACTCTTAGAGGCTAAATACCAAGATTTTTCAGCTTCTGGGTAGAGGTGAAGAAGCCTCTTGGATGAAGTACAGACGTTTCGATGCCGACTCCTGAACGTCTGAGGATGAAGAATTTGCACAGCTGTTTGTGTGTGGTAAATGAACAGAAGTGGTTGTGCTAAGTTGAATTTGATACTTGTGGCGAGAAACTGCAGAAAGAATGTGAATTTTACACGTTCATACAGTAGAGTCAGGTGTCATCTGCATAGAAATTCATTTTGTTCAGATTTGAATATATGTTTATATCAGGTTCAAACTTTATATTAGGTATTGAATTGATGTGTGTTTTCCTCTGTTTGTAGGAACCAGCCCAGGTCACCATGGAATCTCAAGTGAAGGTCAAGAAGAAGCGAGTGGCTGTTACAGTGCCACCTGCAGCTCCTGATGGTGGCTACAGCTGGCTCATCTTAATCTCCAGCTTCTTTGTCTTTGGCCTGACCTTTGGAGTTATCAAATCATTTGGTGTCTTCTTCACCAAGATACACCAACACTTTCAAACCACGGCCACAGGAGCATCATGGATCACCTCCATTATGGTGGCCACGATTTATATCGTAGGTAAATGTGACTTTTGAAAACTTTTTTTCTTTAATTATCTCTGGCAAATTTAGCTGTACGAAATAGCTAACCTACGGTTGTTATACCTTTGAGTAACCCTTTTCTGGGCTTCTTTCTATTTTAGCCTCTTTTGAGTGTGCTAACGTTTGCCAATATTTAGCTATTCCAGTTTTGTTGTTTTGTTTCTCTAAACAGCTAATTTTATACGCTCATCAAGATTCTGTTGTGGAGTGAAATGAAGAAAACCTTTCCTCCTGTTTGTGACCCCGCAGCTCCTCTAGCTTCTGTGCTGAGTGCTTGCTTCAGCCATCGAGCTGTGGTGATAATCGGTGGACTGATCTGCAGCTTAGGAGTCATAGCTGGGTCTTTTTCTGACAACCTGATCGAACTCTGCGTAACGGTGGGGTTTCTGAATGGTAAGTCGTTGTATGAATGAACAACATAAGCAATAAAAACCCAGAACCAAACCGTATTTAATACTCTATTCCCTGGTGTCCGTACCTGCAGGTGTTGGCTACGCTCTGTCCTGGATCCCGACCGTGACAATCCTGAGCTTCTACTTTGAGAAGAAGCGTCCACTGGCAAACGCCTTGTCCACCACTGGAGAATGCATCTTTACTTTTGTCCTCACACCCTTGTTTCAGGTTTTGATTAATGCTTACACCTGGAGGGGTGCTCTCCTGTGCCTTGGAGGTCTACAGCTGCTTCTGTGTGTGTGTGGTGTACTGCTGAGACCCCTGAGAGCCTCCAAAAATGAGGCTTTTGTCAGTGAAGTTACAACAGAAGAGCAAGGCTTCGTGCAGCAAACGCTTTTATTAGAGCCGTCCGAGCCGAAGCCACCTCTCGGTCAGGAGTCTGCGGTGATACAGACGTGTGAAGCGCCTGATGTGGGAAATGTGACAGTGCAACTTGAAGAACCGGAGGAGCAAAGTTTAAAAGAATCACGATGCACACCGAAAACCAGTGAATTCATGGCTAAAGTTCTGCGTTATATGGATTACAGCCTTATCACTAATGCAAACTTCATGGTCTTCACCATGTTCGGGGTGTTTTCTTGTCTGGGTCTCTTTGCCCCGGTCTTGTTTCTGGTTCCTTACGCCCGCAGTAAAGGGGTGCAGGAGCACCACGCTGCTTTACTCGTGTCCATCTCTGCCGCTCTGGATCTGCTCGGAAGAATCGTCTTTGGTTGGGTCGCAAACCTCAGACTGATCCAGGCGGTAAGTCCATCTGTAGAAAACCATATCCATATGAAATTATTGTTTTGTTTTTTTCTTTTCCTCTGGCTAACTTTAGACTAGATCTGGGTTCAAGTCCAATTGGCTGGCTTTTTCTAGCTTAGTTTTCTTTGTTAACTGTTGAGATAAGTTTCTGGCATTTTGTAAAAATGTAGCTGGCTTAAGATATTTGTGTTTTTTGCTCTGTAATGCTAATGCTTATTTTCTTGCTAACTGACACTAAGCAGGAACTATCTGAGGCTGACAGTAATTCTATTATACTAAAAAGCTAGTTTTAAGCTTTCATCCTGGTTAACTGTTAGCTACTTTACTTTTTCAGTCTTTAAAAAAAACTACCCTATGTAAAAAACTACCCTAATTTCTTTGCTGTATGTTTTGCTAAAATGTAATACCTTGTTAGCTTGAGTACTCTGTAACAAGTTTCTGCTGTCTGCATTTTGTGACTTGTAGTCTATTTTTATTCCCCACTTTGATTCCCACGTTTATGCCCACGTTGTATTCCCTGCAGGTGAAACAGTTGACAGCGACTGTGCTTCTCCAGGGGATCCTGTTGCTCCTTTTTCCACTGGCCTCCTCCTACATTGAACTCGTCGCTCTCAGCGCAGCCTACGGCCTCACATTCGGAGCCACGGTCTCCATCCACATCACCGTGTTGTCCGAGGTCGTCGGCGTCCACAGGCTCGGCAGCGCCCTCGGCTTTTTCATGCTCATACGCAGCGGCGGGGGCCTGCTCGGACCACCCATTGCCGGTAAGTCACCTAATGTTTTAGCGCAGGCTGTGAATCGGTGTAAACATTTAATCATAATGAAAAGTGAAATTAATTCGTGAAGTTAATTGTTTACTTTTATTTGTCCTCAAAGTGCCTTAAGAAAGCGTACTTAAAAAAACGCTATTATTACTCTAATAAACATCCGTTAAAAACGTTAGCTTTATGCTAACATTTTTGTCAACTCTAACAGAGATGCGAGTTGACAAATACAGACCGTTAGCTTAATGTTAACAACTGTTTATTAGTAATAATACACCAGAAGGAACACACTTAAGCTAATAGCTAGTCAGTGATTTTAAATAGAGTTTTAAAGTGAAAATCCACAGTTACTGTGTGATTCTCCAGGTCTTTTCTACAGCATAAATCACACACACCATAAATGTGCCTAGACACCATTTTATGTTGTACTTGCAGTTCAGTGAGTCTGTTCATTGAAAATGAGATTTTCAAACGCGCTGACATTCAAGTCAGCTTTCACTTAATCATGGAATTCATCTACCGTGCCTCCTATTGGACTTTTATTTTTTTATTCAAGAAACAACTGTGCAAAAATGGTGTCACTTTATCAGACGGTGTTCATTTCTCGCTCAGTTATTTTCATTGTTATATTAAGCATCTTTCTGACTTTTCCCAAGATTTGTTTACCATATTGGTACAACTCTCTGTACAACTAAAGTAACAAATTGACCAAAAAAAAAAAGGATTAATTTTTGTCGTTCCATTATTTGAAACAGAAAGCCAACATTGTTGACACAGAGTTTTGTAAAATGTTAATTTTTTTTAGAAATTGACTTTCTGTTTCCTGCCAAATCTCAGAGAAATCCATCTGACTTGTTGCATCACATTGTTTACCAGATGGTTGTTTGTTTTCCCCTGGCTACAGCATATTGCTCAGCAGGTAGTGTCTACACTGTTGACTGACAACAGCTGCCTTCACTGAATAACAATAATAAGTCACGAGGGACAATAAAAACTCAGAGATCAAATAATAATAATAATAAGTCACGAGGGACAATAAAGAGGGACAATAAAAACTCAGAGATCAAACATTTTTAAAGAAGGAATTGAACTTGAGAAAGATTTATTTTTAACATTGGTATATATTCCATATGTGTGATTACAGTAAGTCTACATTGCTAAAATAAATAAATAAATTTAAATAAATTATAACTTATCCAGGTATCAAGACCAACAGGTAGACTTAAATTTAGTAGTGACTCGGGTCTATAATATACCATAGTTCTATGTGGCCTACAATTTGGATACCGTATAGGGATCACTACTCATTAAGAATCAATAGCAATAAGTGTAATGAATAACTCATGAAAATCAAGGTTGATTACCTGAATGTCAGAGCTGGTTAATTGTAGATTTATTGTTGGTATGGAATAAACAAATGAGTATTCTAACAGCTTGGGAAACATACTGTTTCTCACAGTGGGCCTGGTTCAGTGCTTAGATGAATAGTTTAGTTTCAGATGTTGACTGTTGCTGTGAGTGTAGGTGTTAGATTTGTAAATGGGAAATTCTGCTCTCCCACTGCTATTGTAATATATGTAAATACAGCAGCTTTCAGTGAGGACTTATTTTGGCTCACAATGGAAAGTGTCTCCTTTGGGTCATTGCGGAAAATCTGCGTTTACTCATTCTAATGTCAGTAGAAAAAAAACTAATGGGAGCCATTAATGTAAAATCTACATCACAAAGACAGGACGAAGTCTTTTGACACACAAACTGCAGCCCATCACTGAAGGCATTGTCCTGCAGAGCAGCAAGCATTGGAACACGATTACACAAAAACACACACAAGCAAAACTTGCTTCAAAGAGTGCTGGTGTGAATTTTTGGCACCTATTCCCAACCACCTACGCCAAAGTTTGTACTGACTCTGACGACAGCCGTGGCTAAGTCTGGGAAATCTCTCCAGCAGACTCCGAATCTGTGGATTTCCTAGAGGGCATTAAAAGTGGCCAAAAAGTATTCAAAATGTACCCAATAAAAAAACAATGTACAATAAATAGATACAAGTTTGCAAAAGTGTGGGCAAAAATCATAAAAGAGAAGAACCTTTGTTATTACAAAAACCTGCAGTAAAGTGCAACAGATTTAGGCTGGCAGCGCTAGCACAAATGGCGATGACAAAATGCTATCATTCATAGCTTAGTAAACCTAAGACAAATAGACTTTAAAGCAGACTACAGGAACTGAAGAAATGCTGTAATTCCAATTGTTTTGGGATTACTCCAAGTAAAGGATCAATAATAGGTAATGGTGAATCATTGATCTGAAAACTAGCAGCAGTAGCAAAAATTAGCTTGGCTTTAGGCTGATTTTGGAGTGCGATAACCCTGTGATTAGTAAAATGTGGCCAAACATCAGCTAAATATGTAGCCAATATTGTATGTATTGTATTAAGGTTGAAAAAGACTTAGCAAAAATAGCTTAGCTTTGTTTATAAACAGACTCAACATTTGGATTAAAATGCATCAATATCAGCATAAAGAGAGTTCATGTTTAGCAATCACTGTAACAGATAAAAAAAACTCTGGATAGCACTTGACAAACATGTCATTTGATTAGATTTGTATGTATTCCAAAGTACATGAACTCTCATTTCTGGCTCCATTTCCTGATAACAGGAAACACCTTAATCCTCCCAAACTCGTCCCAAAATAGTTCTTGAAAAACCTCCAGAAGTGATCATTACACATGATTAACTATAAAACTGTGCTACAGGCAGACGGTTATCTAAAATGGAGGTTTAAGCTGTAAATGAAGTGAAACTGTAGCCCATGGTTCCCTGGTAATAACTTCATCTGCTCAGCACTCTGGGCAGTTTGAAGTTGGGGGTGAGGACATTCATTGAAGCAATTCATTATCTTTTATTTACAGAAGTAAAATTCCCTCCCAAGGATGCCTTCTTTGTTTGCATATGTGCGCTGTGCGACAAAGTCAACGTAGACAAAGTCACAAAATATATCACATTTGTAACTGTTCCCTCTCTGAATTTCAGGTCTCCTCATTGACAGGACGGGTGATTACGGAACAGCTTTCCTGATGGCAGGAGTGGCCTTCATCATCTCCACCATGTTCCTGCTTGCTCTTCATTGCATGAACACTAGGGGTCAGAAACCGACTCTTAATGTGTCGTTGAACCAAACAGAACAAAACCCATGAGGAGCCGAATGTGACGTGGGTACGATTCCGTTCCATTTGTTATACAGGTTCGTGACTTTGTTCTACCATGAATGTGGACGATGTTTAAAAAGCCCCAGAACGAGGACACGTGTCTCATTTTTAGCCCCGAGGTTTGAAGTTGTCACTGAGCCTCGTCTGGAGAATGAACCAGTTTGTCGGAGCCTTTTCAGGACATGCCCATGCGTGAATGCACGTGGCAGATGAAAAGAGAGTTGTTGAAAAAGTGTACCTTATTAAGTGGCCAGTTTCTATATAAAAAAAAAAAACAACCTCTGTCATGAGATAGACGCAATTGGTTCTAAGCCAATCAAACGCATTAAAATACGGCACAACTCTTCGAAAGTACACAACGAAAAGCAAATAAAAAAGAGAAACAAGCACATGTCTTTGTTAACATCTTTATAATGTCTTCAAATTTGATAATAGGCACGATTTTTTCTAATTTTAATCTGATCTAATTTGATGTTCTACATTAAACTGGACTCTTTCTGAAAATGGAACTATATCGCCCTCCTGTGGTAACACAATGGTCCTGCATTTTCAACCTCAGAGAACTCTGTTAAAGTAATACAGATGCTCGTGAAAATAGACCGTTACGGCTCCAAGGTTTTATCTTAAAAATAATAAATAATGTTGTGTAGCTGTGATTTGAACTCTGCTCCACGGTGTTTGGTTTGTGCAACCATCGAGAAAAAAAACATTCACGAGCCTGAACCGGTAACGATGAGACGGCAGATAACATCAGCCGGCCGTAAAGCAAATAAAAGAGTCATAAACAAACACGTCACTCACCGTAAATATGTAATAACATGCTGTCAACTCTGGTTTACAAACACAGTCTAACACAGAGAGAGAGAGAGAGAGAGAGCACGCTCTCTTACTTATCACACGTCCCAGTCATTAGTCCGTGGCACAGCAGTGAGGTCTGAAAACTAGAATTAATTTAGTTCAAATAATTTGTTTTGAACAATTAAAAAATAATTACATGTCACACATTATCATATTTTAAAACAAAAACAAAGGCAGGGAGTTGTAAGTAAGAAAGAAAGATCTTTTAAAAAAAATGTGAATAAATTAACCACAACAAAATATTAAGATGGTGGCTGAAACACAAACTACTACTTGTAGATATTAAGTTTGAAGTTGGGATAAAGACGGATTGTTGTCCTGTGTGAGGTAGAGGAACAACAGAGGAGCTACAAGAGAAGAAGAAAAACATTTGGGTGAGGAGAAGTTTGATTTTCTGAGGTCCGTTAGAGAGCAGAAAAATGATCACAATCACACGGGAATTACTGCTTCCAATTGGGCGTCACTGTGATCACCACACAGCAGAAAAGGCCGGTGTAGCTTCAGGGGATTTGGACTAATGAGCGGAACTAACGAGATCCAACTGCAAAGATTCTGAAACGGGATACGGCTTCAGACAGGGTCACTGAAGTGAGCAGAGGCTCAGTGATATTCACTGAATCTCTGTCCAGCAGAGCTAACGGAGAAGCTAAGAAGTTGTTTGGTCTACGTGAATCTTTCCATCTTCCCGTCATTCTCCACTTCTTTGTTCGTCGTCCGATCTTCCTCATCTTTCCAAACATCTTCCTCTTCTTTCTTGTTTTCTCATCAGCCAGTCCCACCTCGCTTCTCCCGACAGGTTTCCCACAATGGTTCATCAAATCTATTGTGTTGCTGTCCTTCTGATGTCAGTGGCCAGATTTAAAAACAACGTCTTCAAAATGATGAATATCATGCCAACCTCGCTTCTCCAGACAGGTTTCCCACATTGGTTCATCAAATCTATTGTGTTGCTGTCCTTCTGATGTCAGTGGCCAGATTTAAAAACAACGTCTTCAAAATGATGAATATCATGCCAGAATTGGCACAAAAAACCACAAAAATGCTAAACAATAGCTACGAAACCTGTCAAAATAGGCTGAATATTACAAGAACAAAAAGAAGAAAAAAAAACAAATTGGAAAAGAATCGTTCTCTGCCGCGGTGCTTGTTATTAAAAGAAGTAGTCAGGGCCCTGAAATTTCTGACAAAGTCCCACAAATGGCCCTCCAGCCAGACTTTGGACACAACTGGCTGGTGCACTTCATATTTCAAAGATAAAATAAAAGTTGAAGTTTCACATTTCGCCTTTTATCTCCACTGCAGAAACTTTTCTCCTCGCTGCTGCACTTTAATCGTCCAGTAAAGTGCAGCAGATGGCGCCAGCCTCGTTCCTCACGTCTCTTTATGGTCTCATAAATCCAAAACAATTGTGCTGTTAGTGCACCCATACTGTGGGTGTGCTGTGTGTGTGTGTGTCTTTTGTTTCATTACTCAACTCATGGAGCAGTAAGACAAACACACACCTTTCAGCAGCCATTAAAGCAGAGATTGATCTTCTCTCTTCAGTTCATCCTCAGACCCAGCTGAGGAGTAAACACTCCACTGCAGCTAATCCTTCGCTCATGTGAGACAGTGGAACTGGGCGAAGGAGAGTTGATGACTGTTTAAACCGCAACACTTGGAATGAATAAAAACAGGCAGAAAAAGGAGACAAAAAGGGAACAGAGAAAGAGGAAGGTGAACTCGTGAGAATAAGGACAACTGTAGGGTTTTTAATTTTTCTAATGGATTCATTATGTCTCTATGCAGATGATGTAGTTATTATAGCCCCCCATATTCCTCAAAGGCCTCACACTAATGTAACTGTGATACCGTTTTATCAGCTTTTCTTGATTTTGGGACTGTCATTTTTCCATAACGAGGAAAACTCAATCCCACCGAAAAGAGAATATTTCAAAGAAGAACCAAAGGGCCGAGGTTGTGACATCTCTGAATCTACAAAGTTGACTTTGTTGGATTTCTGAGCTGACGCGTGTTCTGACAGGTGACAAGCTTCAGAAGCAACTTTCACCGTGTACAAATCCAGCAGCTTATTTGGTGCCAACAAAACACCCCCGACCCCTGACCTTATGTGCTGACCTCTGAACTCGCACGACAGACTGAATTTAGAATGAATGGCTTTGACGGGCTCCTGATTCGAACAACCAGTACCAATAGAAATCTTTCTATTTGTGTAAAAGTTTATTTTTATAATCCAACACCTGTAAAACTGTTTACATTCTACAGCTGCACTTTGTGGTTAAAACTGCTAATTACTAGATGATGTCACGTCTGCGATTTTTCACCTCTTCTGTAATGTCTCATCAATGTTTATTTTTTTTCTTAAGGAAAGACGATGACATCAGAAAAACCACACGTTGAAAAACTTTTTGGATTTTTTTTCTTGACATTCGCATCGAAATGAGCACATAGATACCGGAAAAAGCCAAGTCCTTCAAAGTTTGACAGAAACAACAGTGGCTAAAACTGATGCTAGCTAAAAAGAAAAAAGGGTTAGCCAAAACAATTGCTTATTGATGTTTCTAAATATAAGGCTCAATTTGAAATCATGTTTTTCAAAATTAATAGTATTTTAAAAAATAAAAGCTTTGTGCCATACATTTAAAGATGTTAGTGCAGCCCCTGCTGGTCGTGGGACATTTCTGCAGTGGCTGCAGTATGTATATCGTTGTGGTTACACTTCTGACGTCTATAAAATTTCATAATTGCCGTAGAGAAAAACACAACACAGAAGCCGGCGTGTACAAACACACGGGCTTCTCGTTCCAGCGCTGTGTAAACATGTCGACACCAAACCACAAACCAGCAACGCGACGAAAACCTCGGATTCCTCCCAGATGATCTTCATTAGCCCAAAACATCTGCTTAGGTACGAAGGTATGTCCATGTGGTTTGTGTAAAATCGACCTCCACTGTGATCGTAAAATCATCACATGTGGAAGACAGGGCTGCTGTGACCGACAAAACCCAAACCCAAACCCACTGGACCACCGTGTGACACACGCTGGAATTTTCTTCTTGACTATTAAAAGTGTAGAAACCCCGGTCGACTCTGATTGGTCCGCCTTCACGGACCTACTTTTCTTTATGTCCATATTTGGAAAAAGTTTTTAGGAAAAATATTTTTTTCTCCTTTCACATTTTTTTCTTGATTCTTTTGACGTTTTATCTTTTATTCAACATTTATTTCACACATGAAAATGTGAAGTTTTTTTAGCAGCTGGAAATTTGAGAGGATTTGTTTGTGTGTGTCTCACGGCACATCTGCTCATCTTTAATTGCACATGACAGTTTTGTCACTGTGCGGTGGAGACACATTTTATGTCCAGTGGTTTTGTGGCACATGTTTTCTTGCAGGAAGGATGGTAAAAAAGTGTGAGGGTTTTTCAGATACTTGACTGCCGGCCCAGAGTTCAAGCGTGTACAGTGTAACGATCAACAGCCCACATCCGTGTTTACATTCCTGATCCGTGTCAGAGACGGAATATGACTGATCCGAGGTGCAGCGTGGCTGGGAAGAGCCACCTGACTGGGAATGTGTTTCAATGCATGGCCATGTCTGCCAGTATGTGTATGTGTGTGTGAATTCCTCTGTCTGTGTGTGTGTTTGCAGAGGATGCTGGGAGATTTCTGTGGCACTGACCCATGAAGAATGATGGCATGTGGCGTGTTAAAGGGACAGGAGGCCCCTGTGTTTCTGTGAGTCTGACTTTGTAACTCATAAATCCCAATGTATCTCACGTTTTAATTTCCTAATTTCCATAATTTGAATCTTATCATTGTCACATTTTTAACAAAAAAAAGTATTTTCACCAAATATATGTAATTGTCACATTTTTAGCTGAAATTTGCAATTGTTTGTCTTTAGTTACAAAAAAAGTATTTTCACCAAATATATGTTTAGCTCTCATGTCATTATTCTGATCCTAGTTTCACAGTCTGAATGACAGCAGCGTTACATGTCGACTTGTAATCCCACATAATCCCATTATGAATTGATTTTATTACTGAAAATTTAACCTTTAGCCCCGTAGTCTGGGTCTTTATCCCAATAATGACTTTTTATAAATAATAACTTAAAACTCAAAATGACATCATGTCTCATAAATTGAACTTTTTCTGTAAGTATTTGGACAATTATCTTAAAATGCAGACTTTTTTAATTTCACTATTTTTATTTTCCAAACCAAAATTTTAAAATCCTTTATGTCCTCGCCTGCATGCATTCCTCTGTCTGTGTGTGATCCTTTATGTCCTCACCTGCATGCATTCCTCTGTCTGTGTGTGTGTGTGTTTGCAGAGGATGCTGGGAGATTTCAGTGGCACTGACCCATGAAGAATAAAGGCATGTCCGCTCTCTCAGTCTCTCCTCACTTCAAATCCAACTTTTTCTCAAATTACGACACCACCACCACCACCAGTCCCTCCACTGCACCACCCGACCAATCATGTCTCCCCCTTTTTTTCCTTCTCCCCTCGGCTTTCTCTGGTGTCTGGTAGGAGAGCGGGAGAAAGAATTCAAAGTCCTCACAAATCTCAGTGATTTTAACTTTTACAGGAGCCGGGATTATGTCACAGTGAGGCCCAGGCTTCACCGGCACAAAAGGCAGCGATTTGTGTGTGTGTGTGTGTGTGTGTGTGCGTGAGTGTGTGTGAAAGAGCGAACCTCCAGGTTCATTCACGTACAAGTCAGAAACCTTTGAGAGAGATTATTATTTTCTTGATTTTCTAAACAAATTTTTAATCTGAAAAATCACTCACAGGGAAGCTGTGGATTAATCACAATCATTTGTAATTAATCATGATCAACACACACACATGCAGAAACACACAGACCTAATCCACTCCCCAGGTCCTGACCCCACCTCAAATAAATGACATCCAAACTGTCCCCACTGGACACTGGGATTGTCTCAGCAACAATAGGTTTTTTTTTTACAAACTCTGTCCCCACAAGTATAGCTACACCAAACACACACACACACACACACACTCCCTGCCCTTTCCAAAGCTCTCTCCTCCCTCCTTCCACCCCCCCTCCCCTCTCTGTGTCTCCCTCTCACAGACATGTGTTCAGGCTACACCAGCAGACACTTTGAGCTGCTGACACGCTGCTGCTGCTGCCGCTGCTGCTGCTGCTGATGCTGCTGCTCCTTCTGTCTTTCCCTACATTTTTTGCTCCTCTCTCCCTCCGTCCTCCTCTCTCTCCTCCCTCTACTTCACCATTCTCTCCTCAACTCTTTTCCCCTCAGGCTGATGTGGCTCGTGTAATCTGTGGCTGCACATGAACAACTCACCGTTGCTGCTCCAGTTCAGAGGAACCGCAACAGAGGAGTGGGAGACGAGCAGAGGACACATTTTGGAATAGGCAGAAGAAGAAAAAAAAGAAGAAGAAGAAGAAGAAGTACTCCCGAGGAGGTCGTAAAGTTTTGGAGCAGGACCAGCATCATGTCCGACTCTGTGCTACTGCTGCTCCTGATGTCCCTGCTGGTCCTGTCCACAGGAAGTGATGCCAGGAGACTGAGGAAGAGAGGACTCAACCATAAGGTGGGGCTGCTCTAAACATTACTTTCTTTCAGCTTCAACAAATACGTGTGTTCCCTGTTCATCTCTCTCTCTCTCTCTCTCGCTCTCTGCTGCTCCACGGTGGAAGTAGGTGAAAGCTCACAGTACAATACCCACTCTGTTACACAAACTGCCTTCACACTGTGAGAGAAACTTTCAGGCCGAGGCTCAAAGGTGGTCGAGTTGACCTCAGACCATACGTCTGTTTGTTCATGACGAGCAGTGGTGTGAATAACCCAGAAGAGGGCCCCGGGAGGTCGGGGGGGCCCGGGTTTGAAAGCATAAAATGCTTTTGTTAACCTGCTGATGTAGCTGAGTGCACATTGTTATCGGTCGCTATTCCTCATGCATTTTAGGTCTGCTAACACAAACAAAGGTATGACAGGAAGCTGACAGGAAACCAACGGAAAACATAAAGATATACATTCAGAATTGAGCTAAATGTTAGCTAAATAATATAATAAAACATCAGTGTGTGTCAGTCAGAAAACAGTGAGTGACAAAGCGTACGCCAAAATAAAAAAAGGTTGGCTAAAGATTAGCTGCAACAAACACATTTGATAGCATATGTTTGGCTAAGTTGCTTTTAGTGATATTTGATCAGAATCTTCAAAAATCTCAGGCTATTTGTGGCCGTGAACATCGTTATCAATTTGGCAAATTTTACCTACTTTTTACATAGTAACTAATTGTATTTTAGGAATTTTTAGTCATAAATTATTTATTTGTCAGTACATTATTGTGATTTTAAGTGACTGACTTTCTGTTACTTCTGAACTTTACATTACTATATATTTGGTTTGGCTGGAAACACTTGACTTTGATTTTGAAACAAAAAAAAATCAACTCTGACAGAGGTTTTTTTTTTTTTTTATGTGTGCATCGGGTCGTAATAAGTCTCTGGATGTGTGTGTGTGTGTGTGTGTGTGTGTTCAGTGGATTATCAGAGCAGGGCCTGTACTTACAGACCTGCTCGTTAACTCAGCTGACTGATTATTTTCTCTAACGTGGTTCAGTACAGCTCGCTCCCTGATGATTTTCCTCTGCTCTCTGTTCATCCGTCTTCTCTTCACGATGTCCATGGCTGGCCTCGTCCCCTCTCCTCCTCTGATTCTCAGCCTTTATCTTTTCCCTCTCTTTTCTATGGACTTACCCTTTCACCCCTTCTCAGATCTGCTTTCTCTCCCCCCTCACTCACGCTCCTCTCTCGGTCTATCACCTCATATTTCCCCCCCTTCTCCTAAATCTGGTTTCCTGCTGCTATCAGACCGGTCCAAAGACAGGCTCTCGCTGGACTCTGCTGCATCAAAGCTGCTGTAATTTAAAACACACTGACGCTGCTGTGCTTTTTTTCTTCGTCTCTGCCTTTGAACCTTTTTTTTTTTTCATTTTCTAAATCTTTACATCTTTCTTTTCTCCTCCACAGACACAAAAAGTCCTGGGAATGTGTAGAAAGGAATAATGACAGCCTTGAAATATTCCACGTACAGAATAGAGGTTGCGAATGGAAAACCTCGAAACACTTTATTTATAGGACAGACCACAGACCACCAGCTTGTGTTTATAACCAGAGAATTCAATTTGTCTAAATCTCTGGAGTTTTTGAATTGCGCAACTTTATGAAAATGCCTGACGAGAGATTTGATTTGTTGCTCACAACGACTGTCTTTTATGTATAAAAAAAAAAAGGTTTAGTTCAAACTGCACCGACTGTCTTTTATGTATAAAAAAAGGTTTAGTTCAAACTGAACCGTGAGCAACGATTTCCGACAAGCACACATATAAATTTGGTCAAATCTTAGTTAACTGTGTTCCAGGGGTAAGAGATCAGGGTGTTTTTGAAATGCTACAGTAAAGTAAACTTTTTTTTGTTTTCGTCAAAGTTCAAATTGTGAAGAACTGTTTTGTTTTCGTCAAAGTTCAAATTGTGTTAAAACCGTCTGTAATGTAGAGGTTAGAGCAGAAACAACTTTCCAAAATTGCTAAATATTAGCTACAATGTTACAATGATAGCAACTTGGACGAACGCTAACTCAGGTTTAAACATTAGCAACAGCTGAACAGAAACAGCAGAAGATGACTAAAATATTAACAAATTCTGCTACAAACTGCTAATAAAAAAAAACACAGAGAAAATGTCACGTTGGCGCCCCCTCACTGTTTGGCAGGACACTAGGTCTGTTAGGCAGATATGCTTCGTCACAAACTGTGATCCAAGATGGTGATTTCAGCAGGTTATTGTCCACCTCAGATGAACCCTGCAGATTATCATAGTGCAGTCGTACGAGTCTGTGTCTGATCTGAGACTGCGGAGCCCGGGCTTTAGTGGCTTTTACTCCCTCAACCTTCTGTGAACCAGGGAAGAGCCTCAAAGAGTGATTGAGATTAAAATCAAAGAGAAAAGATGAAAAAAAAAACCCAAAACAAAACAGGCAGGAAGTGAGATAGTGAGCGTGTTGGAGTCAGAGACAGGCAGACCAAAGAGGGAAGAGGGTGAGGGCTGACGGGTACATGCCCTCAGACAGATGTGAAGATCACACACAGACCCGCTGGCGATGTCTCGGCAGGAGAAGAAGAAGCCGACAGGAAATCTGAGGGACGCAAAACAAAGGCATGTGAATCTGCTGTCGTACAAACACCAAAAAAAAAATCAAAATTGCTGAAAGAGACCACAGTTTAGTCTAGAAAAGCTTGCAATAAAGATGGCAGTAAAGATCAAAAGGGCAATAGTTGCTAGAGTTTAGTCAAGAAGAATGCTCAGAAGAAACCAAAGGATTGGCTTGTATTTCAGCAAAATTGCTGACAGTTTCACTCCTGTGAACCACATTTTCTAGCAAAAATTGTGTTTTATATATATATAATAGTTTATACTTTTTTTAATAAAGTACTTTGTTTTAATTATCACTGATCTGTGATCCATTTTAGCCACTCGACTGTCTTGCAGTACATGCAGTACTCCCTGCGTGTACTTTTCCTGCTCGGACACGGTGTACTGCCGACTGCAGCTCTCTCATGTCCGTCATCGGTGACGCTCCGGTGATGAGTGAGAACTCTGGGGCCACGGAGTTCACAGTGTCTCGTAATCCTCTTGGATTTATGAATGAGTCCACTGTGATTGGCTAATGACATAATGACCTCTGCTGTCTCTCCTTGTCTTACATCCGATCTGTCTCCTCCAAATGTCTCCTACGAAGGGTCAAGTGCACCCTTCCTGTTTATGCAAGCGTTTGTGTGTTTGTGTGTGGCGAGTGATTGCCTACCCACTTTGCATAAACCTTTCATTCTTCAGTGTGCGCGTGTGTGTGTGTGAGCGCGTGTGTGAGCGCGCTGCTTTACAACAACAGATGTTGCTTGAAGTTCCGACTTTTTAAAAAACTTTCTACAGTGTCTGTTATTTAACTTATCTTTCTCAGCTCTAATACATCGACCTGTTACATGTATGTATTTAGCAGATGTTTTTATCTAAAGCGATTTACAAAGGATTATTATCAGGCATGTGTTTCCTCTGGGAATCGAACCCAGGACTCTCTGCTTCCGAGGCAGGCGTGCTAACTGCTGGACCA